CACCTTTGTCAACATAGAAAAAAATAACTTCAATCTCATGTCATCATGTTAAATTCAGGAAATTAACACCATGTTTTCTACATCCAACATATCTTGATCTCAGAAGGTTAAATTCACATTGAGGAACCCTTTTTTCCTGCAGTGGTTAGAAATAATACCCATCTTAACCAACGTTGATGATTACCATAAAATCAAATAGATATATGACATATTTTACTTGCCAAGAAGCACAAATTACACAACACGTCCACACAAATGCGTTCACTACTCGATTGGTTCTAAGCAGGCCTGATGCGTTCTTCCCTGATTTGCCACACTCCTATCACGTATCTCGTCCTCTTCCTGTTTACACCGTCACGCTCATACCCAGTGTTAATGGTCACGTGTGGACGGAGAGTATTCGTGTGGATGCAGAGTGTCAGTTCAAACTCTTCTCCAGCAGCAGGCAGCTGTCTCCAGTAAACAACCTTTGTCAAACAAACTGTACACTACCTGCTCAGCGGCATGCGAAAGCATCGAGCAGTTAAAAAGATACGTTTTCCTTTTAGGGGTCGGTGAACCAAATCAGAGGGAATATTGGACTTGCACAATAGGACACAGTTTTTATACTATTTGTGATTAGGAGCGCTACTACGCTTGGATGTAGGAAGGAACAGACCATCTCTACGAGCTACAGACTGGCATTTGTCCGACATCTCTCATTTTCAACCTTGCCATCAAATATCATCAACAAAAAGGCTAAAGGACGGACGGTAACCAGTCCAGTCAGCAGATCAGAGACCACGTCGTAACAGCGCTCATTCCTCTGCTGATGTGAGAATAATCACGTCACTCTGAGCGGGAGCGTCAGCAGAAAAAGCTTCAAGAACAAAGCCAGCCAGCGCTGTACATTCGCAATGAACCAGCAGTGACGGGCTGCTGCTTTTCTGCAAAAGGCGGAAAAAGTAATATACAATGCCTATGAAAGATATTCACTTGGATGTTTCACCCTTTTGTTGCTTTTCCTACACGAGTCTGTGTGGATATGGTTGTTGTCTTACTGGAAAATACATCAGATTGTCCTCCGGGATTTGCCAATATTTTTCTGCATTCACGTTCCCCTCTACAGGGCTGCTGCTGAGAAGCATCCCAGAGCACAAAGCGCTCCACGGAGAAGATGCTGTGTTTGAGGTGATGTGCTGTGGTTGCCGTTTGCCAAACACAGCGTCTAGTCTGATGGCCGAAAATCTACGTTTTTTTTGTCTAATCAGACCAAATAACCTTCTTCCAATTGACCTTGGAGTCGCCCACATGCCTTTATAAGCTACTCTCCCATCCAGCTTTGACTGGTGAAGAACCAGTGCATCGGTTGTTTTCCCATCCGAGCCCCTGAAACTCCTTCACAGTAGTCCGAGCTGCCTTGGTGGCCATCATCATCATCATCATCATCATCATCGGTCTTCTTGCCCAGATACTCAGTGTGTGAGGACAGCCTGCTCAAGGCAGAACAAGTGACACACTCCTTCCATGTCTTAATGATGGACTTAACTGATGTAACGGATGTGCAGTGAGTTGGAAACCTTTTTGCAGTAATTTCTTGACTTTTCAATGATCTTTTCTTTGAGTCGCTTGCAGTGTTATTTTCTCTTCATGTTGCATTGCAGCAGGAATACTGATGAGCCACGGACTGGATCTCACAGACAAAGGTGTTTTTATAAGACAACCTGCTGACACACATGATCTGCACTTGTGATCTCCATTTCACTATTTGTGACATTGTCGAGTCAGATCAATCACTTTAAAAATGGTGAATATAATACTATTAACATGCATTTTATACTATACATTTACAGTTAGAAAATCAGTTTCGACTTTGACATGAAAGAAGCTTTTTATGCAAATTATTGTCAAAATGCCAAATTATACAAAATGTATAAAAGCATCAAAAGACCAAAGACATCAACGCGGGCCAAATCATTTTTATAGGCGTTGTAAAAAAAAACATACACGCACACTCTTGTGCACACGTGCACACAAAGACACATCTCACATGCGTTTCTTGCTGGAAAATGAAAACTGCTCTCAGTCGTGTAACATGTCGGAGACAGAACGAGATCCAGCAGCAAACTCAATTTTCACTCCGTTTCTCTCTTAAAAACGCACACTTTCCCTCCTACGCGGGTGATCTCTCTTTGTCACTAACACGCAGCTTGATAAGCGTGTTCACTGCATAAATCGCAATGACTGCAGACTGTTTCAAGTCGAGCCGCTCTTCACAGTTACTGATCACGTACACAATTGTGTGTATGTAACACACACACACACACACACAAACACAAATGTACACCCAGCCCAGCGTATAGTGACAAATAGGTCTTCTACATGGCGTGAGTGGAGCCAGATGTAAACTGATCATGTGACGCTACAGAGAGGAGTCGGTCCTTCATGTGTATTGACCGAGTTTTCTGTTTCAGGTTTCCTCTGTTCTCCATCTTTCAATTGCTCTCAAATTTCAATACGCTCTATTTGCAGAGCATTTTTTTAATTAAATAATGTATTACAACTGATGTTTAATGGTGTGCTAAAAGAAAAGGTTGAGTTTTACAAAAAGCAATAATTTGTGACTGGGTTGAAATCTGATTTATTGACCTGGCAATGTGGTGTGGCCGTGTTTTTATTACTGGCGGTTCCTGTCATGATCCCGCATTTGAAGTGGCAGTTTTATACACATTTTGATCTACCCATCCCTCCCTCCTGTGTCCCTTCAGGTTTTCCCTCATTGTATGCTACACATGATCAATTTCCACAATTTCCTTCTACACCCCCTTCAGCGCTCTCTCTTTCTCTCTCTCTCTCTCTCGCCTCTCTCTCTCGCGCGCTACCCTATATACCATTATGGTTGTATCTCATTGTAAAGGCGAGTCATTTATACGCTGCAGGGTATTGGTTGAGGAGGAGGCGGGAACGGAGGGAGAGAGATGGAGGGGGAGGGACCCTCCAAGAAGGAGGGAATGTACAGTAAAGAAGAGACACGACACGACCTGTTTCAGTAAATGTACATACATTTACGTTCAAGGTGACAAAGCTTTCATGGCCGTGATAATAATGACATGAGCACAAGAGGCAGTGAGGTGAGTGAACCCCAACAAAGTGTTTTTTTTAAACCCAGAGAGAGAGAGAGAGAGAGAGAGAGGCAGGACTGCGGGAGTACGGGATTGTGCAGCCATTGAGTGAAAGGGATAGAAAACAAGCAAGAGATGGAGGCAGGATAAGAAGAAAGGAAGACTGAAGGGAGGGGAATTGAAAGAGAAGGACGTACTGTCTCCTATTTACTGACTATAAGTGTGGACAGGATATAGAGGGAGACAAAGAGAAGAGGGGAGAAGGAAAGGAGAGTAGCAAAGCAGACGAGTGTGCAGGGGAGATTTAGAGCGAGAGGGCGATGGGAGCAAGGCAGTCAGGCAGAGCGTGAGAGGGAGGGAGTGTGAGAGTGTGCATGTGTAAGTGTAAGTGAGAGGGGCGGGGGTGAGCAAACACGCTCTGCACGTGAGTCAATCTGTTCACATGGCCTTATCTTACGGCGTTATAAATACTTCACGTGAGACACTTCATGCCGCGGAGAAGAAAAAAAAACCTCGCCTTTTATTTGGAATGGTTCAGAAATGCGGACGCCGACGTTGAGGTTTGAAGTTGCAGGAGGGCGGCGACCTGCAGATGAGGTGCATCTTATATGGAACACCTGATAAGCAGCCAAAAAATGAGATCACTGATTCCCCTAAAGCGAGTAATGCAGGAATAATGCATTTTCAGCCCTGTTGTTGTTCATCGGAAGCGAGCTGAAACTGTCATCTGCTCTCTGAGTCTCAGTGTTACATAATGATGGATTGGCCTGCGCTGCTCGGCTCTTCTCTCCTACTGAGGCAGGAATCAAACCTGGGTGTTGTCCTAAATATAACCAGCACACGCGCACACACACGTATGTTTGAATAGGCCAGCTGTAGCCATACTCTGGTGTTTTTTTCTTCTTCTACATAACGTCAAACTGATTACGTGTCTCTGTCCAGCAGCCTGGGTGCAGAGTTTATGGATGAGCGGATACAGTAAAGCGGGATTTCCTGGACTCCTGTGGCACAGAACTAGATTGGAGCATCTGTGTTAGTTGAGCCTTTTAAAACAAGGAGCCCTGTAGACCTTTGATATACGTATAGGCTGTGTGGTATGACCGTGGGTCTACAGTGCAGCTACTGTGCACGGGAAGGGGACACATGTAGTACGACTTTAATATCATGGCTTTACATGTAACGTGGCACTGCAGGGTTGGGGTTGGTCTAAGGTACGGGGCGTTATGTCGGTGAGCACCACCCGTCTGTCGCTTCGCTGGTGGGGGACTGCACGCATTCACTACACACGCGCGCACACATCGCCAGGCAAACCCCTTAACGTGCACGCACACGTACACATTCCGCACAACCCGCTCGCCCATGCGGAAACAAACGGGTCCTCCAGCACATACCGCCGTTTGCGTAAAATTAAAGAAAACCCGATATGTGTGGGGTTTTTTTTCCTGTGACTGTCCGGGAAGACGCGTCCCGTTCGACAGAAACACGCCAAAGCCCAGGCAGAAGAGGGAGGAAATACTATTAGGGCACATGACTCCGCGCCATGAAAACCACGATCTGAGACCAGCAAACAGACGTGGACGTTCGCCGACGATACCCGATAACCCGGACCGCGGAGCCCAGGTGCACGGCGGTGACATGCAATGTCAAGCCTATTTAAGGGAACACGTTGGGGGGGGACGAGCCGTGCAGCTGGTTCAGCACCGCGGACAGCTCTCCTCTCCTGTTAACGAGAGGGAGGGACATAATGTGTGGCACTGTCCCTCCAAACATCGGAACCAAATGACACCCAGTCTCTTGTCCATCGTGTCCAAAAAAAATACACACACACATACCCGGAAGCCCTTCACCCAGCCGCATTCACGATCTGCACTCGAAACCTCCACTAACGCTGCTCCCTACCTCATTCCCATCCCGGGGCCTCCGATGCCCATCCCTCCCCCGGCAGCGATTCCGTTGACCGGCTTCATGTGCTGTCCTGCCCCCGGTGCTGTCGCGGGTCCTCCAGGCATAACCGGCCCCATCATCCCGGCTGCTCCCGGGTCGCCGGGCTGCCCGCCGCCCTCCATGCTCGCTTCGTTCCCCATCTCGGGCTCGTCTCCGGAGACGGGAGGGAGGCGGAGAGAGGCAGTAGGTCAAACCGGCGGCGTCGCGTTCTATGTCACTATGTTGTCTTTTGTGATATAACCATAAAAGAATGAATGGAAGAGGGGAGCCAAAACCCGGAGAGTGAACTCAGCGCTGCTCCTCCATCGCCGCCATCATCATCATCAGGACCAGTGGACTGCTTCCTGACGTTGTGACGGGAGCGCGCCGCGCGGCCACGGTCCATGTAGAGGGAGGAAATGAAAGCGCGAGAGAAACCGAGATTCGATTAAATCAAAGTTAAATGAGCCCCGTGCGCAAATTTGGGTCGCAGCAGCAGAACGATTGGGATGTAACGAGCAACATAGATACAAATTAAGAGGGTTTACTTTGAACTGCAGGTGGTCGTCACCCAAGGGCTATGATCAAAACATGAAAGACAACTCAGGTATCAGGTACATTTTTTATTGGTGTATACCTGAACATTACCATTTACTATTTTGTATTTTTTGCTGCAGCGTCTTTCAGCTGCATGGAGTCATTTAAAAAGGGTAAACTGTATTTCTCTCCTGAATTAATAAATAAAGTTCAACCATGTTTCCAGTCAGCCATGAAACAAATAGATCTTAGGTTAAAAATGTCTATTTACAGACTGGAATTATATGACCTTTCAGCTGCATGCACGATGTGAAAATGTACATTTGCCTTCAGAGTTAAGTCGATTTGCCAAGACACGACCGCTCTGATGAAATCACTGCATTTAGAAACGGCTCCTTGAAGAGCAAAATTGCGCAACCACAGACGCGGGCGCGCGCTCCCCGGCCGTCGACGCAGCTGACGCCGTGGAGACGGGAGGCGGGGACCGGGGGAGGAAGGGTAGCGCGCGACCGTGGCTGTACGTGCGCGTTCACGTTGTGCTTTTTCACGCGAAGAAGGGACATGAGGAGCGTCGTGAACCTGCCGAGGCGTCACGTTCGACTGCACAGGAGCATCACGTGTCAAAAAACACTCACATCTAGTGAGCACCACCACATGTAGCGACCACCACCATCACCACCACATGTAGTGACCTCCACCATGACCACCACATGTAGTGACCACCACCATCACCACCACATGTAGTGACCACCACCATGACCACCACATGTAGTGACCACCACCACCACATGTAGCGACCACCACCATCACCACATGTAGTGACCTCCACCATGACCACCACATGTAGTGGCCTCCACCATGACCACCACATGTAGTGACCACCACCATCACCACATGTAGTGACCTCCACCATGACCACCACATGTAGTGACCACCACATGTAGCGACCACCACCATCACCACATGTAGTGACCTCCACCATGACCACCACATGTAGTGACCACCACCATCACCACCACATGTAGTGACCACCACCATGACCACCACACATAGCGACCACCACCACCACATGTAGCGACCACCACCATCACCACCAAATATAGCGACCACCACCATCACCACCACATATAGCGACCACCACCATCACCACCCCATATAGCGACCACCACCACCACATGTAGCGACCACCACCACCACATGTAGCGACCACCACCATCACCACCACATATAGCGACCACCACCATCACCACCACATATAGCGAGCACCATATGTAGCGACCACACCACCACATGTAGCGAGCACCACATGTAGCGACCACACCACCACATGTAGCGAGCACCACATGTAGCGACCACACCACCACATGTAGCGACCACCACCACCACATGTAGCGACCACCACCATAATCCAGAATGACTTTCTCTTGACAGTGGACGATAGTGCTCAGGAACTTGTTCAGGAATATGTTAATTTGCCGCTAGCTTAGTATAAGTTATGTTAATTATTATCAATTCAATTATGTCCTGAAAGAACTTAATAATCGGAAAGAAATCTTGGAAATTATTATTTTTCTAAACTTTTGAAACAACAACAGTTTGCTACATGATTGCCCATCATAGCTTATTTAGTGAGTTATATGCAAAATAAAAATAATAATTAGTTGAAGGTAATTTTTTTATAAAATGTTTCTGATATTCAGAATAATATGTCAAAAGTGTGCTGAAATATTGAAATGTGAATTTTTTAAATTTAGGCCAATATCCAATAAAGACGTGATTATCCTTTTTTCATTTCACATGCCTCAAGTACCAATATCCGTTAGAGCAGCTGCAACAACCACAACAGCTGTATTAACACCAACAGTAGAACACTATTTTACTGTAACAAAACATATTTAAGGAAAAGGTAGAGTTTGAGAAAAAACAAAGCATCAAGAGGGCATTAAATCCTTACATCAATAACAACAGAGTCGTCAGATAACAGCCTCCAAGCAGCGCTGCACCCGCTCAGCCACTGGGAAAAGGTCCACTCTCTGTTCCAATGCCAAGTGTTCTCTCTGAGGCCAGACTATAGAGATGAATAAATCCTGACAGCTAACTTCCACGCTGCATGTATACTGTGTCTTTCTCTGTGGAGACAAAGAGACAGTGCCGCTGCATTAACAAAAGATAGATGAAGAGAAACGCAATTCTCCTCCAAAGATTCAGCTGTCACAATTTACAAATAATGCCAGTAGTCTTTTTTTCAGAATGTTGTTTCTCCTTGGTGTTACTGTTGGCAAAGAAAACTACGAACAGACCTGGCCTGTAACATGCAACAATTCACTTTTAAAAGAACAAAGGAAAAATACAATTTGTTTTCACCATTAACAACTTGGTTGTGCCAGGAACAAAAAATAAATAAAAAAATAACGATCATTATTTTTTGAACCACCAGCACCTTTTACAACTCAGGGCTTCCAGGAAATGTCCACCTACAAACTTGTGACTGTAGATCACAGCCCAAAGTGAAGCAGAAGCAACATGACACATTAAACATAAAACACAGAGCCACGGGGCACACGACAGAGCAGCAGCAGGCCAGATGTTACACAACAGTGAATGTGGAGCCATATGCAGTCTATATCGGTAAATATATAATGCCCTGTTGAAGCTGTGGCAGGTTGGAAAAAAGCAGCAAATGGACAAAAACATAATTCTGTAGACACAAAAGAGAGAGAATAAAGCCTTCCCCAACTGAGACATAAGTGGGTAAACTGGAAGTGAGCATTCAGGGAAACATGCCATGCTTATAGTTTTGGTGTCTGAGGGAACAATCAGGAGCCATTTTTCATTCTGTCTGCTGAAGACACGGCGATCTGTGCATTATGTCCGGTCAATGTATTCATGCTTGTACTTTAGGAATTATGTGATAATTATATATAACTTTTAGAGTTGATTTGGATAACTTTAGAATAATATGTTTCTACACATCTGGCAGGAAAAGAGACGTCGTTAACATTCATGGGTGATTTTAACATCAATTGGGAGGACATTAATTGGGAGGACAAATTGTCTAGAGAGAATTCTGGAGAGAATCCTAAACTGATAACTGATGACTTTGACCGTGTGCATTTGGTCAGTGTCAAGAATAAAAACAATCCTCAAGGACCCAAATTGATTTTATATTTAGTATTAGGCCAGAGAGAGTTTTTGCAGCATAGTATTGCTTTTAGTCCGTGTCCCTGTTTTAACAAAGTCATACCTCATTTTATTTATCTTTGTGTGTATTGACTTTGAGAGCATCTGTGTTGCATGTATTGTTTGTAGTTTTATTCTCTCTTTTTTCATTGTTTGTGTACGCACAGTAAAGCGTCAATATTGTTTAACATTTTCAAAATGTAATCTTATCTTATTTAGGTTTATTTTGAAACATCGGTCACTTGTAATGCAAGCTTTTTGAATTTAATATCTTATTCATTGGGATACCTCGCTCTGATTGGTTCACACAGTCATTTGGTCCCTGTGGCAGATGCCTGCCAGTTGACTATAGTAAGCAAAAGACACTTTTTGCCCCCTGGAGGCCATAAAATAACTACCAACATTTGTCATCTCTACAGTACCCGACTGTAATGGCAGGGCTCCAAACGGCCTCTTTTCAACCTGCTATCATCAAGTGGTTGATGAAATGTGGACATCAACGTTTCTCATTCGGCGAACAGTTTCTTGGTCCAGCAGTGAGTCGCGGGAGGCCGCTCGGGGAACCTGCAACACCACAATCGATCTCCTTGACAGACGGGCTCATTGGCGTGAATACTTAACGAGATTACAGTCAAATGAAGCAAGATGCCAGCGCTTCACCTCACTCCAAAGCAGCAATAGAACTGTGCCTTTATCAGTTTTAGCAATTACACCTGTATTCACCCTGAGGCCACATGTCAAAATTGCTGCTTTTTGCTCTCTCCTTAATTGAGTAGTTAAAGGAACATTTAGCACATACTCAAGACCATCTTCTATTATGTATATCTGGGAGCAGTTGTTAGCTTGTTTCCAGTCACGTAAGATGAAGAAACTAACGGCTGCCGAATAGGAAATAATTTTCTCTGGGAGAGAAAAAAAAGAGTGAGAGTAAAGGATAGATGCACCGTGAGAGCTCCTGTGGTTTGGTGCTGTTGTGGACTGCAGTGCTTTCAGAGAGATTGCTGTTGATCGATGTGTCTCATAAGGAGAGGAGAGCCGCCATAATGGGCCAACACCATCAAAACACATTCTATGTTTCCATAAACAGAATTTCTTCACATTAATCTTGTTTAGCCGGAGCCTGTGGTCATTGTTGTCCCGCAGATAAACATAGCAATTGTGCATTTTAGGATAAACACAAGAAATACACTATTTTACAGAATGGCTTTAGGTGTATTGGTTGTCAAGGACAAAGGCAATGCTCAGATTATCATGTGTATTTTATTAGATTTAGATTTGTTTTTCAGCCGAAGAGGAAATGCATAAATGCACAATTTTGTCAGAATTAAAATCGAGCTGTCCACGTGATGCAGCACACAGCTACTGACATCAATGAGATAATGCATTAAAGAGGATATCCACTTTGTTAGGTGTTCTACCAGTTAATGGGGCTGTCTGGCATGTCTGCCAAACCCCAAAACGCTTGGAAAAAACAACTTGCACGTTTTTTAATGATTCCTGTAATGAATTAATACTAATTAAAACAACTTGTTTGGGGGATTCTCTCTATTGCCTCCCAGGCTTAGAAGGCAGCAGAACAAAACGCGCCACACGATACCAACATTTCATCGGTGGATGACTGTAAACAGAAGGCGTTATCACACATCGGTAGGGGATACAGTGGATTATTTTCATATATGAAGAGCATGTCCCGGCTGGAATTGGGAAAAAGCTGCAGAAACATCCCCAAGTTGTGGAATTGGAACTTTCGCAAGTATCTGCAGGATAAAAGGAAAATCCAAAATCAGCGATATTGACTATAATAATCAAATGAATAATTGGAATCAAACAATAATTACATTTCTTTAACAGATCAGTGGACAAATGCTTCTTTATTTTAATCATTTGTTTTTTTTACATTCCACGACGGTCCTGTAAAGGTGCATTACCAAAACCTTCTCACACCTCTGTTTAAATTGCATAATCCCGTTATGTGAAGCGCTGTTGACTGTTGGCCAATAGAGGGCACTGTATGGATGTGAGAAAGAGAAATGTGGTGCAGGACAAAAGACAAAGCATGAAGAATGCTGCAGGAATGCTGTCTTCATCGGCCCACCTGCCGAGCGGATTCACAACATTAGTATTAGTGGAACCTGTAACATAAAATACATTCATGCACACAAGCTGGTTCACTCGGATGAAAGACAAGGATCGGTTGTGGAGACCGAATCACAGACGCGTTTGGCGAGAGCAGCTCTCCCGCATGAGAAGGTTTGTGGAAGTTATCAAACTCCTCGTGGAACAATAAAAGCGAGAGCTGAGAAGTAAACTAACATGAGAGGAGAAAGTATCGATGCTTCAGTGTTTACACACCCAGACAGGGCGCAGCGTACAGTGGAAGTAATCGGGGTGTGTGTGTGTGTGTGTGTGTAGAGCCTTTCATTCAAATCTGAATTGGCACAATAGATTATACATCTATTTCAATCCCTTTTCTGTCAATAAGGAAGGGCAGTGGAAAACACGCACTCAAAACGACAAATCAACTGTGTATCACAGTGTAACATAACCATCCATCATTATTGCAATTACACAAAATATAGACCCACACAATAGAACCAAAGCTGCACTGTAAGTTATCAAAGACGCGTGACCGCCAACCGGCTGCGTCCCCGCAGCCTTCGTGCGTTAAATAACCCCGAACATTTGGATACGCGTGCACTTCCGGAACTTTCGTAATCGCTTTCTTGTGCAGAGCGCTGCAGCGCACGCGGGGGGACCGAGCTGCTTCTGCTTCTTCTTCTTCTTCTTCTTCAGGGGAGAAACTGATGAATGAGGGGAACGCGGCCGAGCGCTGCCCCGCACCTCACTACCGCAGATTCGAGCCGTTTCGCCCGGGAGGGACACGCCGAAGACGCCGGGGCACGAAAGGTGAGACACACACACGCATACGCGTGGATTCGTGCCCGCATGGAAATGTTTTTTTTCTTCTCTCTGTTCAAGCCTCTTTTATTTGTTGTTCTTCTTCTTCTTCTTCTTCTTCTCTTTTGTTTTGTTTTGCTCCATTAGCATTTTGCATGGCGTCAATTAGGCTGCAGACAATAGAGGAGCAGCGGTCCCTTCCGCCTGCACCCGCTGCTGCTTTCACCGTGTTATGAAACCACCCAGCACGCCTTTAAAAAAAACATAACAAATAAATGAAATTGAAAAGAAATTCGTCCTCGGAACGAGCCGTGGGGATCGAGCAGCTGACTCATCTGCTGTGATGAATGAGCGCCTATGTGTGTTAGGTAACGCCGCCTTTGCTAACAGGCTGCACGGGCAAAACGTGGAAGTGTTTTATGTACAGTGTTGTATAAATACACGCTCAAATGTCAAGTTAGGCGCTTCAGGGAACCGCTTGTGGGAGAAACCGACGCGTGGAGCTCGAAGGGTTCCGCTGTGGCCCGAGAGGGGGGTCAGGCGGGTTAAAGAGCCGACGGAGGGACTCCGGGTGTTTCGGTTTATCCAGCGACCGTGTTACCTGGTGACGTCCAGCCGGACGCGTCTGTTTGTGTCACTGTGACGACAGCGGTTTAAAAAAAAAAAAAAGGAAGACATTCTTTTTTGTCCTCAAGAATGCCAAGAAATGGACAGTTCTTTCTTTTCTTATGACCACCATTAAACCCCTTTTATTTATTTTTATATATATATATATATATATATATATATATATATATATGACTTTTCAGAACTGTCATTTACTAAAGGGTAGTCCTATAGGGTCCTTACAGCTTCTTTCCCCCACACACCTCCAATTTCCCATACGCATTCAATGAATTTTAAATATTTAATCAAAGGGTGGTTCTGCCTAACCCCCTAAGCTGATTTTACAGTGTCATCCATCCATCTGCAAACCGCCTGTCCTGCACTCGCGGGGGGGCTGGAGTCTATCCCAGTTTTACAGTGTCATTTACATTCCAAAATAGTGATTTAGAGAATTCTCTCAGACTAAACCACGCAGGTAGTTTCTGTATTCTCCCCCTGCGATCCTTGTGTGTACGTCAGTGAATCGCATGCCCAGGAGAAAGGTGTGAGCTCGTCACATACAGGAGGAGAGTGTGACGCTGAGAAAAAAAATGAGTTGTGCCCTTTATAACGCGTGTCTTCCAGTCGCAGCCGGTTCTGGTCCATGTGAGGTCAGTGTGATTGTTGCAGTGGGTGTTGGGCAGCTCCAGACGGAGGCCCTTTTGTTTCATTTGAAGGGATCTGCAAAAAAAACATGTATGTTTGTTACTGTGGTTTCATTTCTGTTAAATTGTCCAGCTGCAAAGGAAGCGCATCATTCTTTGTCTTTGACCACGTGTTTCTTCTAAAGCGCATTTGTTGGTGTTGTTTTCCTTGAACTGGCTGTCATTGGTGAAGCTGCATCACATAATAAATTGCTTTACAAGTCCTCTTTTGGAGGGAATCTTTGTAACGCTGAGGAGGCAGTTTGGTTCCATGTCACAACGTGTATCAGTCGACGTTCTAATAGTCTGAATCTCAGGCTTTTCCGTCCGCCTTCACTGTCCGTGGGACTGTCCTTTTTTTTAATCTGACCTTGGATCATGTATCCAGAGAACCATTTCAGCCCGATGCAACTTTAGCTGATGAAGCAATCCCTCTTTGCCTTCGGAATGTGTTCATTGTGTGTGTGCTTGCTTCAGTGAAGGTCGGTCTGTCTTTGAAAACATCTCAACCGTATTAGCTGTTTGTCAAATATAACATTTCAAAAAAATGTATGTGGACGCAGACATGGGTGTTGGTGGGAAAGTCACGGTCCAGTTTAGACCCATATTTTCTCTTATTATCCTGACCGGATGATCCAGGGGTGACAGTGTCTCTGTGCCACCCCCGCGGAGCAGAGAGCGAGGGAGGAATGCAGGCCGGCTGAGGCTCCGACCTCGGCTGCCTCTCATGTTTTAGTCATTCTTAGAAACCCGATGGAGGGAGCGATGGGGCGCTGCGTGTGTGACCAGCAAATACGTCACTGGTTCGCTCACCGTGAATCTTTAACGGCAGAGAAATGTGTATGCGTGGTCAGCAATTTCTAGTTGTCAAGGGAGGCGGCAAGTTTGGGGGGGAAAAGGAGTAGATGCAGCAAGGTGCCTGTGTCGGGCTTCCAGCATCCAACCCGCCCCACGTTATACAAATTATTTCAAAATGCGTACGACCGCAGATGCAATATTAGGCAAGTTGACTGAAGGCGTGATCGCAGCAGGAGCTGCCACAAGATCTATCTCTATCAGGTTGTTGTTGCAAAAAATGCAGAGTAAATTGAGTTTTCATGGTTGAGTAATGATTAGGAAAAAAAAAAGTACACACGCTACGATAAAAGGGAATAGTGGATCTAATCTCCGCTTGAATCTTCCTGCCTGCAGCAGCTCAGACTACACACGAGCTCCTTTTTAAACCCACCAGTGCAAAAGGTCCCGGGTTCCTCCAACAACAACCTGATGACACACAAAGAAGAACAAAGTCAGTGACCGGTGGATGCGTGGCGAGACGCCGCTGCTTCTACGTCCGACTCGGACAGCACCTCCGCTCTGCCCGTCCGTCCGGACGATGGCTCCTCCCCGCCGTGTCCCCGCCAAGCCTGCGTGGGCTCTCTATGGTAAATCACAGAGCATATGGGTGCCTGTTTTTTCCTCAACTGTTTTTTTCCTTTTATGGAAAGATTCTACAAAGCCGGTGTTGTGGAATTCCCCACGAACTGCGTGCTGATTAACTCCCTTCAGGGCCTCACCCTGCAGGGAGTATCCAAACGTTTCTCTCTCAAGTCGTGAGCGCTCGTAAATTCTTCTACGACGGCAGAGTTTTTTTTATTGAAGGATGCTCGTTTAGATGTACTTCTATCTTTGAGAGCAAATAGAGTTACGACTTGGGAAGATGTCTTTTTTTCACGACTCTAAATTGTAATTACATCCTTCACGTTCCTTACTGTGGAACACTCCTTGATCCTTTTAAGGGTTATGTTGTCCCTCGGTTTTCATCATTTCTATGTCTTATTCCTTCATTTTGGTACAGCGGGAAATGCTACAAGGCCCGTGAGGCCAAGCCAGCGCTGCTATGGACAATGAGTCACACAAATGTGCCATTATAATGTCAGGAATTCAGAATGAACCAAAACACCTCACTCTCACTTACTTCTACCAAGTATCCTCTAAATTGACTGTTTTCCTGATTTGTCACATAATATAAATATTAAAAAGGGTTTGCATCACATTTGCTCTGAGATGATGTCTTGACATTTACTTTGACCACCAGTCCAAAAGAGATTCAATTTGCTGGAACCAGCGATTGTTTCTTTGGCATTTCTGTGTGAAAAATGACTGAAACCATTGATTGATTATCCCGACCGGTCCGTACCGTGTGTCCTGATTTACAGCAGTTGTTTAATGTGCTGATTGGTAACTTACAATAAGAGACTCTCTCTCTCTCCTCGTGTGGGTCCAACCGGTCCATCGGTTATTGTGGACATTAGTCATTAGTTGACCAGTATCCAAGGCTGCACCCCGTGCTCGTCTGTTATCTTGTTTATATTCATGCGCGCGACATGTTTGCCCCAGTTCAAAAATAGCAGCGTGTGTTTTGAGGGTCACACGTTTGCGACCTCGAAGGAGAGCAAACAGAGGTGTTTATCTCTGCAAAGTCGGGAAAACAGACTCCTAGAGGTGCAAACTTTATCGTCTTCATACAGTTCCTGTAAAGAAAGGAATTGAGTATTATTATTAACAAAACTTGCTTCCCCTTGAGTCGGTCAGATAAATGCTGAGTCACAGTGAAGTCTTTGTTTTGGTCCCTTTTTTAATGATTAAGGTCAAAGTTACAACAAACACACAACAACGAGGAAGCTAATAGTTTAGCAACTGTTGGTTTTGCACGGTAAAGCGTCAAGACTAAAAGAACAACTGCATTTTATTCTTGTTTTCATTATCAATTAATATGCGGTTTGGCCTATACAGTAGTTCTAAAAATAAATACAAATAATACGAAACCGACAGATCAGCGTTGGGCCCGGTATTCTTTAAATAAACCATTCCCAACTAAATGTGAGATAATTTTTCTATAGATCCACTCATTGACTTCCGTTTCTGGACAATCTGCAATTCTATAAAGACAAAGGGGCGATCGTTAGGTTCCTTTTTAAATGACACATTTAGCTTACTTTGGTTCAGTGATGCCTACCTTTGACAATCTATTCTACACCATATTTTCACTTATCTTGGCCGCTGCAGCTCCTTCCCTTTTAGACGTTTAGTGCGCCGCTTGAACCTAAGAGCGTAAACCCTCATAAACAAATGTCTTGCTTGCCCACATGGTTTTGTAAAAGAATCAGTCTCACATCTTGCCGACGAAAAGACATCAATTCCTGATGGAAAAATGATGGTTCGTGTCCTTGAATCTGAATTTATTTTTTTACACTTTCAGTCGTCAAACTAGTTTTAGTTTTGGCTGCAGGCGGAATAAGCCAACAAACCGGTGACTGCGGTTCAGATGGGTTGAGCAGAGAAAACCCTTCCTCGCCCGCGTCCAAATGTGAACCCTGAACGACCCCGATGAACTCTCCTAACTGTCCCTGATTGGCTGGAACGCAGCCAGCAGCATCCAATTAGAGGTCATCTTTGCACAATGAGTTCCGATCCCTCCCTTGCTGCCACTCGACCCCTCTCGGGTTCAACTACGTGATCTCAGGAGCCATCGATTAAGTGCGCGCGCTCCCCCTGGATGCTGCTCCGCTACAAGAGACGAGATCACTGACGGGTGAGGATTCCTCTTTCTTGTTGTTTTTGTTAAATTGTGGTCTGATGCCGGAGGCCAAAAGCAACACAGGCCGGCTGGGATTAGGTATGGCACCTTGGTGGGATTAACCAGAGGATTTACCTGTTTAATCCTGCTGATTGATGCGGGTCACCATTGTTTACTGATCATCAGACTCTCTGTGAGGAGACCGACCTTTTGTAAGTGGTTACAGATGAAAGGGAGCAATCTGTGCAAAGAAAAATGTATCTTCAAACCCTTCTGAGGTTTGGGGTGAGCTACAAAGAAAAGCCCTTTGAAAGCCCTCGTGTTCGGTTGCGCTTGTGCCCCTGTGAGTTAGCGTGCACGTCTCTCTGTGCATAATGCATAATATGTGGGGCGGCCTCGGAGCAATGCCTGCTCAAGGACCTGATGTGGTCGTCTGGTGACTCACGCTTTCTCAAAGTCCCTTTCACTGCCTGCTGAGTCCTCGCTCACTGCTGGGAGGGATGAGTGGAGAAGTGTGTGTGTGTACACAATGTCCTTGCATCCTGGCATACATCTTGTACAACTTTTGTTCCAGTAAGCTGAACAGTGGCGTTATTAGCCAGATCTTATGTAAGGTAGCTTATGCAAGCAGCTGTCTTCCCATCATTTGTGTCTCTCTCGCTCTCTTTAAGGAGGTGAAGCGGTAATTACACGTTGTGCTTGTGTGTGGGCTCGTCTGCAACGGCCTTTGTTTTGTTTTTTGAACCCTAAGTGGCACAGGACGGCCCCCACTGTCGTCAACCTAAATCCCAAAACAGGGTCTGAAACTAGCCCCCTCTTTTGGGGCGTGGCCGTTAAGGCCATGTGACCGCTTGGAATGGACTGAATGCTTGGCTACCTGCGTTGTCTAGGATGTGATTGACAGCTGTCCCCTCTGCACAGCACGGCGTTCACTGTTTTACGGTTATTAAATATCTGAGGTGTCACGTGTGCTAAACACCCACCCAGTGTGTGAGGAAGCATTAAAGGCAGTAATTCTTTCACAGAGAGGTGCATGAGACGTTGAGACAATAAGTTGATCAATTGAAAAGTGTCATTCGTCATCAATATGGTTGCTTAGCTGCAAGAAAAATGGCAAATTTATAGATTTGTGTCTTATTATTATGGAAGGAATCTTGAGCGCTGGCATTTGTACTATTTATTTTTATTAAGGAATCAGTGAAATGTGTTGACAGTCACTGATAATAAACACAAAATTTGTACAAAATGATGACTTGAAAAATCCTGAAACTGTACTATTTGGAGCTTCTGTGTTCTCGTCATTTTGGGAGATTCCACACGTAGATGATCTCTCGCTGGCTACAGTGTTGACCTCAAACTCCGGCAGAAAATAGGACTCTCCTCCCCTCCCCCCTTTGCTCACGGGGGAGTTGTGTAGGAAACCCGACAGACCAGTCGGCTCCCCTCCCCCTTGCCTCTCTTTACTTCTCCCCTCACCCATCTCCTCCCCTCCTCCCCTCCCCGGTACTTTTTATATTTTGCACCCATCAGCATCCTGATTCCATATTCACAGAATTCAAATTGCCTCTCACGCTGCCCGGCCAAGGAGGAAGAAATGCTGTCCTCCACAATGCAATGTTGGGAGTCCGATGTCCTTGGAACAGCTCCTTGGCCGCCGTGTCAGGTCATATAAGGTGAGACTTGTAGGTTGTGGGACACAGATGGTTTCATCTTGTTTATTTATTTCATCAAGATTTAAATTCGCCGAATGTTTTCAATAGAGCTTGAACGTGATTGTGAGGTAGCTGCCGTGAGTTTTGCGGTTTCTCGTTGTACGCCGCGTCAACAATGTCCCGAGAGTATTGCTGAACTCGGCAAAATTTAGCATAAAATGCATGCGTGCAGCAGGCGCTCCACCCCTTTCCCCCGTCCCGCCACACGCATTACATCTGGTAACCGCGCGCATCTTTTCCTGTGGAACCTCTGTGCTTGTGATGGCAATTTTAATTTCCACTTTGTAAAGGTGACAATGAAAACTACCAGAGGCAATTACAGAATGCAAATACATCGAATAGCTGTCACTGAAAAAATGCCCACCATGAAAAATGGGATTTGGTTTAATGGAATCGTGTTATAAATCGCGAGGCACTTTGAAATCTGCTTGATTTAATAAGCCGAGACACACGTGTGTTACGTTTGTAAGCTGCTAAATGAGATTTTACGGACACAACGTGACAAACACCTGTACAGAACCGCGCAATGCGCTCCATTGCAACAGTAAACACTCCCCCGCTGAAGCCTCCTCTGAAACCATCTCAAGGATTTATTCACACTTTGCGTGTCATAAATCCAGGCTGTATTTTGTGGCGACTTGCGTACATTATCTGTGTGTTGTTCCCAGTAAACTCTGCTAATAACACGCTGTCCGGCGGAGCTTGCACGTGTTTTGCACGTGCAGGTTTTCTGTGCATCCTAAATGTACTCTGGTGTTCTGGCGCCGTCTGCTTCGACACCAGTACTGTGTCCTGCGGTGACCTCTGGATGACAGCTTTTCCGTGTCTGTAACAAGATCGTTTGACTTTGAATGTCAGCTTTATACATAGTTTGCACAAACATTATGTTCAAAAGTAACGGGGGTGCATATCGGCCCCCCAGGCGACACAGAAGAATCTGTCCAAGAACTGTATGTGCTTGTTCCCGATTTACTGTAGTGCAATAACAGTGTCCCGCTCTCTGATGCATGTGCTCTTTTTGATGAATCAGCAGGGGGGCGACTCTCTGTGTGTATTTGTGAAAAAATGTGCAGGCCGACAAGATTACTGCCCGTTTTACCGACGTGTATGAAGACCAAACGCAACAGCAGCGAGCATTTGTTGAAACGCTTTTGAGTTCAAAGGACCTCCGGCAGTCACAGGAACTACAACAACAACAACAACAACCACAACTGGCCTCCAGAAAACAAACATTTGTGGTCTACTGACATTAAATGTCACTTTCTTCACTAAATTACTTTTCTACCAATGAATCTTACCTAAATCCTCACACGCTGAAGGTGTTTTCTTTGCATAATCCATGGTGGGAAATAATAATGATGAAGAAAAGAACAGACTTAACGAGGGCAGGATGACTTTGCTCTGTGGTACATTTCCCGGTCTCTCCTGAGAAGCTCAGATAGCAACACACACAGAGGGAGAGTGGCTTCATTCTCACTGTAGACATTGCTCCACCACATCTTTACATAGCTGTGTGTGTGTGTGTGTGTGTGTGTGTGTGTGTGTGTGTGTGTGTGTAATTACGTGATGTTTTTGGACACCACAACATCGCAGAAAAAAGTGAGTTCACCAGGTTTCTTTCTTATGCTGTAAAACTGTCCCGTCTGGCCGATAAATCAACCTGCTGTGCAGCATTATGCAAGGCGAGCTGGCGGGTGATCAGAGTAAACCTTGCTGTGATACTGTGTCTTCTCATCGGAGGGGGGGGTGCACGTATTACTCAAAGCCTTTGGCCAAGCGAGACGACTGAGGTTAATGATTGTGTAGGCCAAGGAGAGTATTTCACCGTAACTCGGGAGGTTTTGTGATTTTTATATCTCACTACTTTTTTGTGTTTGTTCATAACATTTTGGATTAATAGTAATTATGATTGTTGTTGTAGATGACTGAATAGTGCTATAAAACAAAGAAAGAAAGGAGGAAGAAGAGGGTTCTTACCAGATCCCAGCTGATGATGAAGGGCACGGCAGCAGTCTGGTTTCAGATTACGCTCGTCTAACACACAGAAGTAATGCGGAGGTCAGTTTCCTGCTGCTGAGAGAAGGAGTTTCTCTGCATGCTTCTCTCTGTGGTACATTTCCAAGTTGTTCACCTGCAGGTTGTGCTCTTAGTTCTGTCTCACACAAATTACCTTTTTATATGCTTAGAACATTTTTTTCCCCGGGAGGATGCACAAATGATATGAGAATAGACTGTAAGACCTTCTTCTAACGTCGGCCGTTAAAGTCTCTTAATGTTTGATTACATTTTTTATGCTTGGTCCATATTTCAATGATGAGATCAAGAAGCAAAGACGAACATATCAGATCTCTCTGTTCCCTTTGTACTGCTAACCGCCTGCAAACAACTAACCTTTTAGTACTTTTCCCACTGCCAAGAATTTGTCTCAAACTCTTTGTAAAATTGTTCAAGCGCCGATGCGTAGTAATTCCTTACCGTTTTCTCCCCATGGACACCGGTGTGCTCACAGGTATCTGTCACAAGGGTTGGGATGAATGTTTTAGTCCTTGTGAGTGTTCTTTTTTTCCTATCCGTTCACACCCACACTTTTTGTTTCTAGGTGCGTAGTGTGGCCATGCTGAGGTAGCAGCAGCCTCCAGGTCAGGATGTCTGCTGAGGAAGAGGAGCCTCTGAACGAGAGGAAGAGGGCGAACGAGATTTGCTACGTTACCGACGAAGACGAGGACAGCGACGAGTGGATACCTGGTGAGTCAAATGGCAAATTACCCACTAACTGCCCAACTCTGTGAGCACTGTCAATAATTGACCTGGAGAGCGTTGATAACGTCCAGGCACACGAGAGCCGACCGACTGCAACGCAAAGGATTGTGGGTAAAAAGAGCTGTTGACGGCTGGCGAGCTTGATGAAACAAATGGAGGGCTGGAGCTACAACTCTTTCGCAGCTTGTGTCTGCTTCCAACAAAGACCCTTTTCTTTTTTCTTGAAGTCATAGAGCTGTTAGAACGTTCCGGCCCGGCGGCTGAGCGGTCGACATGCACGACCAGACTAGTTCTCCTCATCAGCCTCTGACCTGCTGTCCTCCCTCAGGAAACTAAACTCCCTCGTCTCCTCTCACTTCTTCTGGCCAGTTTTTGTTACATAACTCAATGAATCATTGGTTTGATTAGATGCTGAGCTGTGTGTGTGTGTGTGTGTGTGTGTGTGTGGTCGGGGGGAATGTGTAAATGTGTCTCTTGCGGTACGTTTTTGTGTGTAGGAGGTAAGATCTCAAGTTTGTTTGGATAACTAAAACGGTGGAAGCCTGCGGTTTTAAGCGTTTTACCTTGTTAGCCTCTAATATGTGCACGATCACAAAGCGTAACTTAAAATCCCACATTTCAGAAACCTAATGTACCGTAGCGACGTTCCTACCATTTGCATTTTGGGCTGATGTGTAAAAAAAGTGATCAGGTATTTTAAGTGTCAACTAAATGAAAGACAACTAGTGAGATTAACTGCAGGAGCATCAATTGTCCTTGAATTTAAAATCTTCATTTAAATGCTTTTACTCCTCCACTCATGCTGCATGTTTGTGAGTCCTGCGGCTTCGCTCTGTGTGAGCTGACCTGGAAAGGGAAGGTGTTTTGTTGTTTGTTGTTCCCTTTTCCCAGAGCGTCACATATCAATCCACCTGTTGGCCAACAGTCTCCGGGCTGTAGCTCCACATTTAGCGTACATACATGAAAAAGCTATTAATCTTCTCATCTTTGTTATATGGTATAATATGCGACAATTTCCTCAAATAGCATTGCACGGACTGATACAAAAAGCATCCCTCTCAATCCCCACCTATGACCGTCTACAAAGGTGTGTGTGCCTGGTTGTGTCTTTATCCGCCTGTATCTTCTCCTTTCTTCTTGTTCTCTCTCCATCCCAGGAATGACTTTCACATGCGTTTACAAACTGCAACCTTCAATGTGACTACAGATCACACAGTGCATCCTCCCCCAGACCGCCCAAAGAAATGTTTGACACTGCAGAAATGGGGAGCGGCCAGAAACGTGTGTCACACAAGTTTCCAGCCTAAAGGAGGCTGCGAGTCCGCGTCGACCGTCTCATGTGGCAGATTGCTGGACGTGTCGAGGCCTCTGCAGCAGAGACGTGTGAATGAGAACTCTGCAGCAGACAAACAGCCTGTACGTGGTGTCCTGATTACAGCAGCAGTGCCCCGTTTGATGCCACATAGCTTATATGCATCTGTAGCATCTGTTTTTTTTACATGCAATAAAATCATCATCTAATATCATCAATATTAAACATTGTTGTCCTGCAATTACGAGAAATGGCATTTTAAATGTGTAGGCAGAGGTTGGTTGATATTCTGCTACGGGCTGGTCCTGCATGCGCTGCAGTGAACGCGCTCCACGGTTGAGCTTGTGAACTTTTTGAGCCGCTGTGTCCGATTGGCTCCCCTTGGGTGCTGCAGGCATTTGCAGCACAGATGCAGAGACCGACTCTGTTCTTTCAGAGCTTGTTACCTTGTGAGGTCTGAGGGAGGAAAACACATTTACGTGTTTGCCTGTTAAGCTCTCGAAATATCATCACCCCTCACTGTCTCCTGCGTCTGTCCCACGGTTGCCAGGACAACTGTCACCAGGAAGCCGACCCCCTTCAGAGTTGTGACGCTTTCCTCCACAAGGTTTGACTTCCCAATCGTTTCTCGGTCATTTTCTTCAATGATTTACCTTCGTCCCTCTCCGATCAATACAGTCCATCTGCCCCGACCGTTTTATTCAATGACTTTGCTTAACCAGCCGCTTCAAAGTTCATAATTTCTCTTCCTCTGCTCTGATTGTCTTGAAAACCGCTGCATATTATTTCTCCACCTCCTTTAAAGGTGCTAAATTCCTCATTTAGAGCATGACGCATTTGCTCCGTATGTTCACATTAGCTGTTGTTTTGCCACCAAAGTAATGCTCTGGGTTTGTAATGGCAAACTCGTATACCAAACCATTTAGATTTTTAGAATACATTTTGAAGACCGAGGCCTGTTTCAGCCGTGTATGCAGCAGAATAAGTAGAAAAGGAGAACAGAGAGTAATAACGTGTGACAGCATCATCGCAAATAGACTATAGAACGGTGCAGTAGGATGGTTTAAAGCTTTGGAAAGGTTTAAAACAATGACCAGCGTCAACAGCAGCGTAGAAAATTACACATTTGTGGTTTATAAAAAAAAATAAAAAATTTGTGCTCAGGACTGATTGTACCACCCTCAAGCATGATATTACATCATATTGTTTCCAAAGGGGCCTCGCTTTACATCTGCTCCCTCGCAGGTTTTCATTTTGAGAAGTTTTAATTTTGGGCTGTGATGGTGATCACTGGCATCACATAACACATGCGTTGTCTATTTATATATTATACGTCATTTCCAAGCGTGTGTTAAATGGTGGTTTCTGATTTGGATTTTACATCCGAGCACTGGGAGCCCTTCTCCCTTCATTTGCCCCTCATTTAAAAATGATGGAATGGAAATATGCCACTGCTCTAGGACGGAAGGTCAATTGGAGGCAGACTTTTCCAACCACAATGCGGATTCAGTGAGAAGAACCTTGACTTTGAGTCACTGGATTAGCATAAACCACATGGTGGTTACTACAAGGGTTTCTATGACTTCCAGATGTATTTTCAAGTCAACCAAATTAACCATTGTTTCCCAATATATCTACACAAATTGTGAAAAGGTCTAAATATGCACGTCGTATATTTGAAATCTTGTTGGAAAAATACACAGAGACAGAAAAACAAACGTGGCATGAAGCGATTCGCCATATAGTGACAATGAAAAACTCTGAGAACTGAATTCCCCAAAAATGAATCTTCCTCCTCTGCAACGCGGTGCTGCTGGGATGTTTGTGTGTTTTATGTGTGTGTCTCCACCTTCTCATTGTGCGTCTCAGGCTTTGGTGTGCGAGTGCTGCGTGTCATTGGCTCTCTGAGCTCCGATGAGACTGTTGCCAGGTTTAGTCACGTCTTTCATAAGATCCACACATGCATACATGCGCACACACACACATGCACGCACATACCCACGCACGCACACATATGCACACACATGCACGCACATACCCACACGCGCACAGACTGGAGTAGGAGAGTAATAGTCCGTTAATTAGCCTGTTGCTCCCCCGCCTGTGTGTAGGCGTGAGCGAGCTCTCACTCTCTCTCCTCTGAAGAAAAGCAGGCAAACATGTTTACGCCCACGAGGGTTACGGACACCTGTTGGTTTAATGAGCGGCGAGATTCATCACCGTGCCGACTTCCATCCCTGCGGCACCGGTGGAACGGCGGGTAGTTTGGGTACGTTTTCAACTCCTAACGAGTCCTCTCCAGAATCCGACACGTGTTATTCACGAGTTTATTTGATCCGGTGCTGACGGGTCGTGGTTCTGAAGGTTTCGCTCGTCACACGACGGCTTATTTGACCCATTACCACAGTTTCTACATTCTTGTCTTAACTTCTTAATGAACTCACTAAAGCTTGCACATGATGACTGACACAATGACTGACTCATTGTTGATATTCTTCTGGTACTCGGAGAAGAACGAGGAGGAAGATAAATGGCAAAGCAGACGGGATCTTCACAAACCCTGATTGCATTTATTTCATATTTCTATAGTTCATTATGTCATAATTAAACATAAATCTGGAGCTTTTAGATTACTTTAGCAGTTTAGCTCAATAGCAAACTTGAACATACTAGTCATGTATTATTAAAGAGCACCATTGTATTTCAGGACATCGCTGTCGGTGATCAGCTGTCATTCTAGTCAAATAACAGCCCAAGAACTATCCGCTAGTAGGAAGGAAACAAGTCCAGGACAGGTCCCCGGAACCAGCATGAAAAGAAGACATTAAAGTGCTCACAAAATATAAATAAACCCATCTGGAGAACAGCTAATAGACTATGATTGTTTACTTAAGATATCTAGAGATGAATTAACCTCGTAGTGTTAATGCTATATAGCGTTTCTAGGTTGAATGTGAGCCAGAGCTCCGTTGTGTCTGAGGTGTCGTCCCGCTAAACTCTCATCTTCACCCCTTCAGCAGCTCCTCAGTGACTCACTGATTCTTACTGTGATGTGAGCATCACTGCCTGGATTTAACCTCCTATAAAAATGCATTTGATTTGTGTTTAGTGTAGAGTGGATCGTTGTTAATACGATTACTTCTTCATAACTAGACTGAAACAATAGAAATAGAAGCAGTGGTATTTATTAGGGACTCCCTCCACACACACACAGTCTTCAAACAAGCTTTCTGTCTTTTATTGCCACAAGTTTTGTCTTTATTTACTAAACGGCACACAGCACCAGCCGAGATGTTTTCACCAAATAGCAGTTTCACACGTCTTTGCTACATTTACTTTCTGACAGGGACTCGCTGTATTTGCAGGAACCACTTTGGTCCACAGCTGCAGGCGGCCTGGATTCCCCCTCCAGCCCTGCGTTCCCATTGGCTGCCGCTCCCAGCGGACTGTCATGTGTCTGTGACAGAGTCGGCGCACGGCCCTCACACACCAACTTGCCGCCGTAGGTCGGCCTCTGGTGTGGGCTTTTAATTTGGGAAATGACCCCAAAGTGTGAACCAACACAACCAACCCTGCTGACCCGGTTGACGGAAGGAGGCTTTTCTTTTGACTGCTGCATGATCACATAGTGTTTATTGCTTGTTGCACATATTGACAGCTGAGGTTTCCTATC